TACTGAAAGTATTGTCGAAGGGTTCATGTGCACTTTAAGATCATCCAGTAATCGACCAAGTTACCTGTGACTGAGGCATAATAATTTCCAGTTTAAAATCACGCGTTCATTCTCTTGAGTATTGTTTCTTCGTAAAAGAAAATGGCATCTAAATATACTGCTGGGTTGCGATCAGCTGATTAAAGTCTTTGAATCTCATTATCTGCTCCACATGGTGGTCAAACACTGACCACTATGTACTGTCAGATAGAACAAATTTTATTGAAAACTTGTGATTCAGCTGATGAACATTCCACACGAGACAGGAAATGACGTCAAGTAAAACTAGCCAATAGTACTTGATGATATCAAGTACTATTGGCTTTATGAGATGTGTTTTTGTCACTCGGTAAAGATCTATATGCTACATCGAGTGTACCATTGGCTTGTTTCTGCTTCTTATTCTCGTCAAGAACATGCACCTTAGTGTTGAGTCTGATTCAATGTTCTTTGTATTCAACGAAACCATTTCCATGACGGAATGACCTTGTAACTTTGGCGATGACATTTTTTATCGAAAATAGGTGTATGCCAGAGTATTTTACTTATTTAAGTTATTATTATTATAAATATTAATAGAGTGCACGCACTAAAACCGTGAAACAAATACTAACTTTTAGCACTAAATGGTGATAAATAAACAATAGAAAACAAAGGATTCTGTATGAAATAGTACTAATTAGTACTAATTAATGTTCACGGATTTAGTGCGTGCACTCCAATGTGACGGCAGCCATGTTAGATGGCAGGAACAATACAATCGTTTTACATGAGAAAGAATAAAATTCCCAAGAGCAAATGGATTTTATTTTTCTAATCTAACCACATGAGGGCCATCTAACCACATGAGGGCCCAAGCAGTATTATAGGCGTTGGCACGTGATGGTGCAAAACCTCTATTGTATACATAGGTTTGACTGGTAAAAACTGAATAAGTGAAATGCTTGCTACAAGGCCCAGCTTGCTGCCTTCTATTCCCATATTAGTGTAACTTTTCAGGCCCTGTTTTGAATAACATGGTTGTCATCTTTCTTAGATATTGGGCTTCCTTTGGTATACTTTATAATTCAGTAATATGGGTTCCCTGTGGCTTTTACATGACGGTGATTTCCTGCATCTCGTAGTCAACTGCAGGAGCAACAGCTGAAGCGGGAATAATAAATCTTTCTGGTCCTTCGACATTTGGATTCTATACAAAGAATGGTAGATATATTTTTTAAATGCTGGATATCGTATAAAATATATACACTAAATGAATGCGAAGCTATCTTGAAAACATAAAAGAAATCACACTTTTTCTTGATAGAATTTGTGGCTTTGTGTGTGTGTGTGTGTGCGTGTGCGTGTGTGTGTGCGTGTGTTTCAATGTTAACCTCGTATCCAAGATAATCTTGAGAAGGGCAAATTGCAAAATGATTGTCGGGTTCAAAACATAAATGCTGAGACCGAAAGGTATTCTGGGAAATGATATAATTATCCTCTGATGTATTCATTTTAGATACCCAGTCGATATGACACGTGTTAAAAGAATACGTGCTACATATATGACACATGGTCTGAAATGGG